CCGGAGCGCCACGGGGAGGGCAGCGAGCCCAGTCGCGGCCCCGCTCTCGGGCGGAGCGCCCCGCCGCCCCCCTCCAGGCGCCGCCCCAAGCACATGTTTGGTGAGCTGGTGCCTGGAGCCGGCCCTGCCTGCCATGGGGGACAGCCTGGGCTTGTGCCTTTGTGATGGTTACAAGGGGTGATCCTGCTTGCTGCAATGTAGGCCCTCGCAAGACTGGAGAAGGCTCTCCTAGCAGCTGGGCCTGTCCAGCCCCTCAGCCGCAGGGTGTTTATGCCAGGCCCGAAGAGGGGTGTTAGTCCCAGTTCACACTGCCTGGTGCCTTGTGGCATGGGAGTCGCATGGAGGTCGTGCCTCATGGGAATGACACATGAAGCGCTGCCGAAGGAGACCTGGGCCCTTCCTGTTCTGTTTTCATTTGCACTTGGAGAAAGGACAGCTATCGTAAAGGCCCAGCCCCGGCCCCAGAAGCTCCTCCAGTTGAGCCAAGGAGCGCTGGCTCCATGACTTGAGCCTGTTGAGGCAAGTGAGCAGGGACCGGTGGTGGTGGTGTGTTCAGTAACAGCTCTTTCTTTCTGCACCCACATTCCTCCTTTCTCAGCCGGCCAGGCCTTACTCACCCGCAGCTTCAATGAGTCCTTGTCGTAGGGGCTGGGCGTGAAGTCTGTATGGACCCGGGCTCTCCCGCAGAAAGGGCCACTGTAGGGCAGGCTGGGCTCCTCCAGCCTCACGCTGTCACGATTGCTGCCTGTGGTGCAGGGACTGGTGCAGCCCAGTTCACTCCCTGCAGCAGGGGCAAGATGTCAGCCTCTCCTGCTGAGCCAGCCTGGCCAGGAATTTTGCTTCCCTTCCCTGAGAGCTGGCCCTGCCCAAGGGCAGCCTCTGACTGTGGTAAGTGACTGTGCCGCTGTCATTTGCGCTGGGCTTAGGAGTTTGTTTCTACTATGCCTGCCACAACCCTCCAACTCCCAACGAGCAAGAGCTCCAGTGATACGTGTGAGACCTACACCTAACACAAGCTCGGGGTGCCCCTCCCTCTCCCCCCCCCTCCCTCTCCCCCGGTGGGCAGAGCTGGGTTTCCCTGCTCTGCAAGGGACCATCACCGCCTGGGCGCTGCTGCTGCCTGTTCTCTGCACAGTGAAGGAAAGCGCAGCTGCTTCTCACAGCACGGGGTCAGGAGGCAGGACGAGGCTGCTGAGGGCCCGACGTGAAGTTCTGCCGCCCAACATCACCCCCACAACTCCATGAGCAGTGTGTAGGGCATGTAGGGTAGCCAACTTTCTAATCACACAAAACCCAGCACCTTGCCCCTTTTCTGAGGCCCCGCCCCTCGCTAGCTTCACCCCCCTCCTTCTGTTGCTCTCAGTTCCCCACCCTCACTCACTTTCACCAGGCTGGAGTAGGGGGTTGGGATGCAGGAGGGGGTACGGGCTTTGGGCTGCGGGGGTGGACTGGGGGGAGGCTGGGGCTGAGGTGCTTGGGCTGTGGGAGGGGCTCCAGGCTGGGGCAGGGGTTTGGGGTGGGAGTGAAGGCTTTGCCTTGGGGTGGGGCCAGGTATGAGGGGTTTGAAATGGTTGCCAGGTCCCTGCAGTCTCTAGGCACAGGGGCAGCCAGGCAGCTCTGTGGGGTGCGTGCTGCCTTCACTCCCGCAGGCGCCATCCCCCACAGCTCCAACCGGTGCTGCCAGAGTCCCTTTTCGACTGGGCGTTCTGGTTGAAACCAGACACCTGGCAACCTAAAGGGCACATATACGTGCGCTGCAATTACAAACCCGTGCCAGTGAATCTGAGCCCGGTTCTGCACACAGCTCTAAGGCCACCTGTGTTCATGGTTGGGTGCCAGCTGTAGCAAGGGCTCTGCAGCCTGGGGGCGTGGGGGGAGCCGCAAGGTCTACTCAGGAGCCTGAAAGTGTGGCTCTGAGCCTGGTTACGGCAGGTTAAAGGCAGGGGACATGCACTCTAGGTGAACTGAGCCAACCCCGCGCCCCTGCATCCATGGTAGTGTGAGCGTCCCAGCCATCTCTGGCTGCACTAGACGGGTGTGGCTTCTCCTACCTTCGCCTGGGGCAGCTCACCAGCCAGGGCTCTGCCCCAAGCAGGCTGAGGCCAAAGGGTGGCGGAGGTGTCGGCCCTCATGCTGCACTGTCCCTGGGGCAGGCAGCAGGGGCCAGAGAGTGACAGAGTGCTGTGTCCATGTGGGCTAGGCTGAGACTGCTCTAGCCTCTGCCCTTCCTGCTGGGGGTGGGCCCTCTCCTGCCTCCACAGGTCCCTGGGGAGAGCTGGCCATGGAAGGGGAGCTGGGAGCATGGCGACATGTGAAAATGCCCCCTCCCACTGAGCAGCATGGCCCTTGCGCTCACCACTGGATGTCTGGCGGCTGAGTGGTGTGTGCACATCCTCTTCCAGCTCCACATACGACAAGGGCATCTTCTCGAGGCTTGGCTCCTCCAGGCTGCCGTCCAGCGACATGGGGGACATGGAGCCCTCCTCCCCCACTTCTCCCTGCAGGTAGAGGCCAAGGCAATTAGTGCAGGCTGGGGCAGAGGGGCTGCAAGGCTGCAGCATGGCTGTGCCAGAGGGGCTGGTACTGTCACAAAAGCAATGTAACAAGGGCCCCGGCTTGGCTTCCTGCGTCCAGCCGCCTTGAGCACACGGGCTAGCTGCTACAGAAAGGAGCAATGGGAAAGCTCCAAGTGCCATCACCATCTGGAATCCCCAGACCTGGGCCTCCTGGGGCTTGAAAACGGGGTCCAGGTATTTCAGACGGGGGTTCTCCTGGCAGCAAGTGATGCTGAGAGGTGGAGTAAAGAGGGGCCAGGGGTGTAAACTGTTCACTTTCCTGGTTCACTTGCTTAGAGGGGGGGGTCCAGGTCAGTGGATGGGAAGAGTCCACCTAGAGCTGTCAGCGCCTCCCCCCAACCCCCAATCTAGTCATTCCGTTTCCTCTGCCTTTGTTCGGATTGCTGTGGCCCAACAGCTTCATGCTGTCCACCCAGCCTTCAGCGGACACGGGCTAGTCACGGGGCAGACGAAGAGTGCTGGGTAAGTTTAAAATCACTTTGCTACAGAAGTTTCAGATGACCCTTGTTGCTTACAGAAAGGGACAGCGAGGGGCTCAGAGAAGGCCTGCTAAGAACTAGTCTAAAGTTGCAATGAGCCGGGCGAGTATATCAGGGAGGGGATGGCTGGTATGGGGAGTACACGCTCCAGGATGTAGACACTGCTCTTAGAGTTCAAAGAATGGCTTAGCGAGCGGAAACCCAACCCGATCCAAAGCTGGGCACAGAGCTATGGGAAGCCAGCCTGGGGCAGAGGACAAAGGTGAAAAGAGGTTGGCACGAAACAAGCTCTGGAGGTGGGGGCAAAGGTGCCCAGCCCATGGGGAACCTTGGGCCAGTCAGGTGAGCCCGAGGAGGGGAGGGGACAAGCCAGCTCATCTGACGGGTACTTGTCCAGTGAAGGGTGGCAAGCAGCAGAGCCTGAGTGATCAAATAAACTGTGTTGCACTCTGTGGATGAGGGGAGTCAGACCCCAGGCACAACTACCCTGGTCACCATGTAGCCACTAGCCCGTACCCTGCCTCAGGGGAGCTGGTGAGGTGAATGAATGGAACAGTGGTTCAGGAATAGTGAGATACAGACTGGCTGAAGCACCCTCTGCCCCAAATACAGGATAACTAGGTAGCCTGAGCCAGCCGGGGAGTCCCCTGCCCACCACCATCTGCATGTGGGTGCTATCTGTTCTTATGCACCGGGGCAGAGCAGGAGTTGTTTCCACATGCCTGCACTGGAGGCATAACTAAGAGGACCTCCCTCCCCCGCAGGGGTTTAGAGGTCAGACAGGCAAGAACGTTCGTACTCGAGTCTCGCTCAGAATCCCACAATTCCTAAAAGGAGCAGCAGTGAAAGTGTTGCTATCACACTGTCAGCAGTAGGCCCCAGAGTTAACTACCCTTGGGGAGGGAGTTACTGGGTGGGCTGCCCCCTGCAGGCTCAGGCAGGCCCTAGCGCATCAGGTCATGTTCATGAGGTTTTCTTTGCAATCAGAAGGGCTGGGAACTCTGCTTTGGGAAATGAAAATCTCGATTGTACAGGAGCCACCAGAGAAGAGCCGGGCTGGCAGTCAAGCTGGCACCAGCTCTGTCTCAGCTCGCCCAGTGCCCCATTTCTGTTCTGTGGGTTCTCTGAGTTCCAGGTCTTTGTCCTGTGCTGACACCCGGGGATCTGAGCTCAGAGACCTGGCACCGTGCTCCTTACCTTCCCCTCAGCCAGCGCCTTCACCGCCATCTTGCCCATCTTCCTGTTCATGGTGCGGGAGATGACAGCTCTCCACTTCTTGCCCAGCTTCATGCCACTGCTCTTCCCAGTGTCATCAGGAGGTGCATTGGCCAGGTCATCCTCAGGAATCTGCAGAGACAGTCGCAGCTGGCAGTGAGGGATGGGGGACAGCCAGAGAAGGGAGTGCTCTGCTCTTCTCTCTGCCCTCTGCCCCTCAAACCAAGGGAGGATGAGCCAGCTGGGCTGCCGCCTGGGGGATGGGAGGATGCCCTGAGCAGAACCCTCCACAGGGAAACCTCAGTGCCCCACACGGCTGAGCCCAGGCACTTGAATGTGGGGAAGAGGCATGTCTTCAGTGAGTCCACCTGTGCCACACACTGTCCCTGTGTTGAAAGGATGGGGGTGCGCCCAGCAGGTAAGTGCCAGCTTGGGAGCAGTGCCACGCAGAGAGCAGTCAGTGTCGTGGGCACCTCTGACTCTTCTGAGAAGCTGTCTACCTAGAACGGGTGCAGTGTATGGACCATATGCGTCTGAGCATGGAGCGGTGGGTGGGGTGAGGCTGGGCTGGGGCTATATGGGCCCGAGGTTGCAGCAAGCAGTGAGTGGGGCAAGGCTAGACTGGGACTATATGGCCCCAAGAGGGCAGTGGGTGGGGCAGGGCTGGGGTTATATGGGCCTGGGGCAGGCAGGGACTGGTGTGGAGCTGGGACTGGGCAGGAACCAGTCCCCCCCTGTGATGGGGCTGGAGGGGTTTCCCTGAGGGCAGGGAGTGGGCATGACATATGGCTAGGGTAGGATGCCCATGGGGCCTGGCAGCCCGTCACTGCAGTCAGTTGCTCCCTGCGGCACAGATACTCACATTCTCCTCCAGGTTAAACTCCTTCTCGCTCACCACGGGGGAGCTGGGCTTGGCCTTGCCGAAATCCTTGAAGCTGCTGGAGCGCTGCAGGGAGAGCTGTGAGGGAGCAGGGGACAGCATGAGCCAGCAAGCCCCCTCCCGCTGAGAGCCGCCTGCTGCCCAGGGCCTCCTCCACCCCCCTGCTGAGAGCTGCCTGCTGCCCCGGGCCTGCCCCCTCCCGCTGAGAGCCGCCTGCTGGCCCACCCCGACATGACAGTCGGCAAGGGCCTCTCCATTCTGCGGTGTTACACTCTGCCCTTTCCCTGGAGCCTGGCCCTCACTGCAGGCCGGGAACAGACCAGGACTCAGCAGATCTGTCCCCATCACGCAAGGCCCTTTCCCACTTCCAGCATCTCGCCTGGCCCAACCCTGGCTGGAGGACTCTCCCATCCTGCAGGAACTGCTCCGACATGGGGGTAGCTAGGGCCATGATTGGCAGGTCAGACTGGTACCAGATACAGGCTGCCCTCAAAACTCCCTTTATTGGAGGGCAGAGGCACTGTCTTCCAGGGCAGCCCACAAGGCGTGGCCAGGTGCAGCGGTGGTGTGCTCAGATACAGTATGAGCCATAGTGCCACCTCGCAGCTGCGCTGTACAATACAGTTAATGTCCATTCCGCTGTCCCTCCTGTCTCATCCTCTCTCCCCTGCCCTGATTGCTGCTTCTCTTGGCACCAAGCCCCATCGACTGCCACATTGGTGGCGGGGAGGGCATGCCCTGGGCCCTGCTCCCTTTAGCTGGCTAAACACACAGCCACAGATCCTCTGCCCTTTGCTTGGAGACGCACCAAGTGCTTTTTAAGGAGCCTCAGATCATGCTCAACGGCTGCACTTTAGACAGAAAACATGCGGCCCATTCCCAGGGTCACGTTCCCAGGCTGGAACAGGCTGCAGTTTGCTGGGCTCTGACCCTTAGCCAGCCCCTTCCTCACCACCTGCTGCTGCCATGAAGTGGCTGCTGGGCCTGCAGGACCCACACTGCTCCAGGGAGTTTGTAATCTAACTCCCTGGGCCCCCTCTCATGCCTGGGTATATTTGTAGTCAGTGGTGTAAAACCAGAGGATGTGAGGGGAGAATCAGGCCCAAAGAGGAGGAGCTATCTGGATCTGTCCCTCCAGCAGCCCCATCCGTTGCTGGCTCCAGGGTAGCTGCAGCATCCGTGGCCTGGCACTGTGTGGGCAGGGTGTGCTCCCTCTCCAGGCTAATCATCCTGTGTGGGGACGGGTAGAGCCCCGCACACAGGTCTCTCCCAGCCTGTGGAACCATCCTGTCACCCGGTGTAGGGTAATCATCTCCTGGTAGGATGGTGCCCAGAGAGCTTCTCTGGCAGCAGACCCAAAGCCCAATGGCAGTGCTGCCCAACTCCCACAATGCTCTAGCAAGGGTTGCAGTCGGTGGTGGTTTCCTGAAGCCCCAGTGCTGGGCGACAGGTGACTCTGGGCGACTCTCTGCTCGCCTTGACACAGAATATGTGTCCAGATGTTCAGGCTTTTCCTCTTCACACAGCAATAATAATACAAAGGGAACACATGGGTATGGAGGGGTGCAAATATCATCTTAAAACAGCCTAGTCTGTTGGGGATTGTTGCCCCCCACTAGAGTGACCTCCGATTCCAGCCAGACTTCGACCCCGATTCTTGCCTCTCGATTCTAATCTGGTACCACCTCTGATCTCTGGTCTCCAACCCTGGCCTGACTCTGAGCCTGACTCTTATTTGACCTGGCCTTGCGATTCCTCCAACTACAGCCTGGTGACTCCCATCCCTGATGAGTAGACTGCAGCCCAGCTGTGACCACTAGGCCAGACTGCCTACACCTGTTCCCTTACACACTAGGGCGGTCACAAGTTACTGGGGCTTTGTTGTAGCTCTGTGTTTTCAACAGGCATCACTGGTGTAGTATGTCCTGCAGAATGTGTGCTCAAGAGCTGGTTTACATGTCAACTCCAGGGCATGCTCAGAGTCACATCTACCAGAGAAGGCAGAGGATCGGTCTATGATGTGTCACTTCAGGTCTCCATCAATTATTACAGGTGTTTCTTTATGGAGATTTTTTTTCTCCCATGTGAAAACTGAGCAGTAGGGTCTGACTATGTGTGCCCATTTGATCACCCTATTCCTTAGGAACATCTGTCTGTAGGAAACAGGGTATTAAACTGAGAAGTGGAGGTGGGAGAAGGGTTGAAAGACCCGAGACTAGATGGATGAACATTCTACAAAATGATTTGATTAATGGAGTTTCCGAGGAACTGCTTCAAGGCAGGCTGGAATAGAGAAGAAGAATCGAAGAGCCGACCTAATATAGAAAGAACTAAGGTTAGAAGATGAAGTGATTTACTGCAATCACAAACGTATGCCCTATAAGTGATCCAGCATAGTCAACATGGAGTCACTGCCATGGCATAGCTGATGACTTCCAAGGATTCAGTGGAGCATGTTTAGATATCTCACCATGTTGCCATTTCCTCTTTCTGTGCATCAATCTCCAGCCACCACACACTCTTGGCCAAGACTCTCTTTTCCAGTCCCAAATGGCCTCGTGTAATTCTTGGAATACACGGGCCCTGAGCTTTGTAGGAATAACACTCTGGTGCCACACATTAGGCAACCTTGAGATACTGTTCCCTGTGAGCAAAGAAAGCTGGACACAGCTGTTTTTGTGCATGAGTCCATCTACCGATTGTAATGTCAGACACTTTCCTGCTGTCCCCTGGCATTTGTTGCAGGCAAGGTTTCACTTTGTGCTATATAGAACATATCAACTGTCTGGTTCAGTTCAGTATTCCTACCTGCAACTTCCAATGGCCAGTGTGAACCTCAGGTGCTGACTTTTTTTTCACCAGTGGATGCTGCGCTCCCTCTCCAACCCGAGGCCCCGCTCCGCCCCCTCCACTGAGGCCCTGCCCTTGCTCTGCCTCGTCCCGCCCCTGTTCTGTCGCCTCTGATCTTCGCTCACATGAGAAATCGCTTCTCCTGTTTCACGTAGGGAAATGTCACCAGCTGATTTTACAGGCAAAGATGCACCACAGTATGGAAGGGCCCCTTTGGATACCAAAAGCTTTATGGCCTCATGAAAAGCCATGGGGTAGTCTGGGGACCAGCACCCTCTCTGTCCATTGTGTCAGAGTGCACTTAGGGGCTGTCCTCTGTCAGGCATACAACTCTCTTAACTCTGCAGTTTAGCGGATGCTGTTTACAGTTAGCTGTTACCTTCACTTTAATAATGCCCAGAAAATGAGGATTTCTCCCTGTGTGTTTTTAGTAGCCCCGAGATTTTCTACAACTTCACCACTTTAAATTGTCTCTAATAATCCTGCTCTAAAATTAGACACTGCGGACCCCTGTACCAAGCTCAATTTCCTACTCCTTCCACTTGTAAAGAAATCCATCCGTTATGGTCTTCCACATTTAACAGTTGTAGTGATGCTGTAACATTGTCACTGGACTCCAGGCTGCAAACTGATGAATGTTCAAATCTCTGGCATTGCCCTCAGGACGGGGCTGTTGTGTTGACCTGCACATTTTCTCTTCAGAGTCCAATTTGTTGCAGTTTTTGTAGGGTTTGTTCTTGACCCAAAGAGTCACTGAAAGACTCTTTCACACAAAGAAATAATAGGGTCTGGGTGCTCTTCAGGTTGTACTTCCTCCTTGTCCCCCACTTTAGTTGCTGCACAGATGATATGAGGCTGTCGAAGCTCCTTGGCATCCTTGTAGCTGTGCCCATTGATACAGTAACTTCTACTGCAGGTTTTAGGGTCAATTCAGTCTCAGTCAATAGCTGTTCTCAGATTGCTTCATTGTGCATCCCACACACTAGCCAGCCCCTTAATGCATCATTGAAACTTGCTCCAAAGCAGCAATGCTGTTAATGGCCTTAATTCAGTCACGGAATCTGGAATCATTTCCTTCCCCTTTTGATTCTGTTAATAAAAGCAGAGGCTCTGCAATACCCAGTGGCTTTGGGGAACAGGGGATCTTGTAGAATCTCAACCACTGCTTTGGCTGCAGGCTTACGCAGAGCTGTTAGGCTATGCAGCATGCAATATGTTTTGGCCCCATTGCACTCAGTAAAACCCCCACCTTGTTTCGTCATCTCTCATTATAGGTGGGCCAGGCCTTTGCTGAGCTCCCAAACAAGTCAATTTTCCCCAAACAGCCTTTAACCGCTACATGAGCCCGTCACTCATAGTCACAGTAGCTGCAATTTCACTGTCACTCAGCCCCTAGTGTCCTGTGTTCCTGGATCAGGGTCCCATCCTCACCACCAGTCACTGCAGGTTGTGCTCTTTATACAACATTGGTCATATGAACGAGCCAGCTGGGCATGGTGGGCTCCAAATGGCCACACCATGCCAGGCCTCCTTACACACGTCCTGCTGCTCTGGCTGGTGGCTGGCAGTTTCAAGAACACAGACGGCACCAGTAGAGAGCAAAAACTATTTAAAGGGATATGACCCTATTCCCATATGCTCCATTAGCCTTCTTGGTTAAAGAGAAAGCTTGAAAACATGATTCCCAAAGGCCCAAAAACCAGAAGGGGAAAAACACAGACACACGTTATTATTTTTTAAAAGTCTCAGGATTTTTAAGCCTATCTCAGGATTTTGGGGTCTTGCCCCATGATTTGGAACGCGTGGGGTTGGCAGCACTGCAACGGCTATACCTGCAAAGTGAAACTGTATTGCCAAGGGAGTGTTTGTTCTCTAGTGCATTGCACGCGTGCCCTGCACTGTACTGAACCCACTTGGCAGAACAGGCTGTGGGAATGGTAGGGGAAGGCGCATCCCTGGGCATAAAGGGAGGGTTGGGCTGACTCAGGTGTCAGGCCACGTCTCTGCACAACCACACAGTATGGAAGGCTGTCCGCAGGGGAACACAGTGATTTTGTTCAGAATCAGCACAGGGAAAGGGCTGGTCACAAATGCAAGCACTTCCAAAGAGGCTGGCGCAACAGCTGCTGCCTTAGGGCTCTCCCACTTGCTGTCACTTCCGCAGGCATTGATGGGACCCCATGGAAATCCTGGCCACAGGGTGGTTGCCATCACAAAGCACAGATTTG